CTCATCCCCCCTCTCTGCCCCCTCCTGGCAGGGAGTTGCCGAGGGCCAGGAGGTCTCCCCTCAGCCTCCTCTTCTCCAGACTGAACCCCCCCAGTTCCCCCAGCCGCTCCCCAGCAGACCTGTGCTCCAGACCCTGCCCCAGCTCCGTTGCCCTTCTCTGGCCACGCTCGAGTCATTCAATGGCCTTTTTGGGGTGAGGGGCCCAAAACTGAACCCACTCACCGAGGGGCGGCCTCACCAGTGCCAAGCCCAGGGCTCAGATCCCTTCCCTTAATTTTTAATAGGTCTGGTTAAAAATGGGTGCTGGGGTCATTTCATCCCAACTCTGCTCTCACAACAGCTTGGAGGAGCTGAGGAGCTTGCCAGCCCCTGCTGGATGCCCAGCACAGAGAGGGGAGGGATGGGATGGGAGATGAGGGACACGAGTCTCGGCACCTGCTGGATGCAGAACTTCCGCACGGTGTAATCCACCAGGACGGTCACATCCTCCACAGACACTCGGATGTTCCCGTACGTCCAGCAGCCCTGATCCGGCCAGTACTGAGCACACTTACACTGTGGGGAGAGAAAATGGGTGCAGGTGAGCTCTGGTCCCCCACATATCTGGGATTGGCTCCAAGACAGGCCCATGAGCATGAGATGTGCAGGATTTGGACAAAATTGGATTAGATACCAGCCCATGAAGTCTTCTGACACCTACCTCTTTCCTCTCTTTCAGGTTGGTCACCATGACAATTGTTGCTGTGTTTTGCTCCCAAATCATCCTCCAAAAATCGTTCACGGTTTCTTCCTTTGGTCCTAAGGGGAAGGTAAAAAGAAATGTGATCTATGGGATTAACCCCTCAGGCTCTGAGACCAAAACCAGCATGTGAAATCACACACCATGGATGATGCAACATATATTTTACCAATAGATGTCAGCACAGGAGGTGTTTTGGAGTCTGGGAATGTTGGCTAACCTAAGGAACAATCCTATCACACAAGAGCTGGGCTTTCTGGATATGTTTTATGATGAGGAATACAATTTTTAGCCCAAGAAGGGGGAACAGGACAAATGGAGCACGGAAACGACTTGCCCAAGGTCACCCAGGTATATTGTGGCCGTCGCAAGTCGCTCGCAGAAGTCCTGTCCCCGAGCCTGGTGTTTTAACCACGGGATCCCATTTCAATATAGCACAGGAATAGTTACCTGCTGCCTGCCAGACAAGGAGCTGACTCAACTTAGACCTCCCTTGCCAAGCCTGAGGGCGAGCCAAGAGAAGAGCAGAGCCAAAGCTTTACCCCAGCCTGATACCACTGCTGGACCTGGTCCAGCCTTCCTTCTCCAGCAAGAGCCAGGCAAACGGGCAGGTGATGTCCCAACCCACTTGCAAGTCATGAGAGGAAACACAAACCACCTCCTGTGGTCGGATAACCCCCTTCTGCTGACATGAGCCTCCCTGCAAGTAGGCATCTTAGTTTTAGGGATATGTTTGGACTGGTACAAGGAAAACAAGAGAACCAGAGGGCTATGGATGTTACATGCAAGCTGGTGATGTTCTGGTGGGGGACAGCTGAGCTTGGGAAGACTCGTGATACTCATTCTCCGTAGCTGATAGTCTAACTCCCCTCCCAAGACCACAGAGAAATTTCTCTCCAAGGGCACAAGCCCATGTTCTTGTCTGCCGAGGTTTAAAAAGGAGCAGAAATGAAGCCAGATAAGCGTGGTGCTTTCTGTAATATTTTTGAGAATTTAATTAAGCAGCTCACTGGCAACGTTTCCAGAGATCATGACCACCTGCAGCTGAGGGCTAGGGTGGAAGGACAAGACTCAGGGAAGAAAGGCTTTGACGCCCTCCAGCAATCAGTACTGCACAGGTAGGGCTTCTCTTCCTTCCCCAACGCATCCAGCCCTGGTCTTTGACCAGTAAAACCATTTTGGGAACAAACTGTAGACCAGCCAAGCCTCCTTTTGACCAGGGGAGCTCTGCCAGGTGCTGTGCTGTGGTTAGCCTGGCACAGCTTTGTAGAGCAGAAGGACACCAGTCCAACTGCCACCAGATAGTGCTACAGGAATAACCGACCCTTTACCTTGTGCAGCAATGAACTTGTTTTTCTCTTGGTACCCCTACAAAGAAAAGAAGAAAAAGGAAGACAAATTAAAGATGAGCATTTGTCTAACACGGGAGTCATGAAATGCAGCTGTATCATTAATAAACAGAGCCATCACCTGCTCTGTTGCTCACTTCCCCCTCTGCAGAGAATGGGCTGCAGCCTCCATGGTGAGAAACAGCACCGACAGCAGAGAAGAAATCATGGAAAATCCCCATGCAAAGGGTGCCTCCCCCAGAGCAACACCCCCCACACTCGTGTGATGTTGGAATGAGCCCACTTGTTGGCCCAGAGCACTAATGAAGTGGTACCCAACAGCCCTTCTGCTGCCATCAGACCCTGCATCCAGAGCATCACGTGAACATCAGGATTAATCTTCGGGAGATTGGACAGTTGAACTCATGGGGATTGATTTTGTGTTTTTCCTAGTTGATATTTATTTACTGGTGAAGAAAGCAAAGAGCTCTTTTGGGTTTTGCTTTTCTTCACGTGCCTCCTTCTCTCTCAGAGGCTACTTCTTCATATAACTCTTCCAATTCATTTGAGCTATATGGTGATAATCATCAGAGGCAGGGAGGTGACAGAGCCCTGTGCTCTGCCCTGGTGAGGCCACACCTGGAGGGTTGTGTACAGGTTTGGGCACCTCAATGTGAGAGAGATCTCAGGGCTGGAGTGAGGGCAGAGGAGGGCAATGAGGCTGGGGAGGGCTGGAGAATAAATCCTGTGAGGAGCCAGGGAAGGAGCTGGGAGTGTTCAGTGTGAGGAGGAGGAGGCTGAGGGGAGCCCTCATCCCTCTCTGCAGCTCCTGACAGGACATTGCAGAGGCTGGGGCTGGGCTCTGCTCCCAGGGGATCAGGGACAGGACAAGAGGGAACGGCTGGAAACTGCCCCAGGGGAGGGTCAGGCTGGGCAGGAGGAGAAAATGTTTCCCAGCAAGAGTGGTCCGAGAGTGGAACAGGCTGCCCAGGGAGGGGGGAGTCCCCATCCCTGGGGGGGTTTCAGGGCCGTTGGGATGAGCTGTGGGGGATGTGGGGTCAGGGAGAACTTTGCAGAGTCGGGCTGAGGGTTGGAGCCGATGATCCCGAGGGGCTTTTCCAACCGGAGTGATTCTGTGACCCATATATAAATATATGTGACCCATCTCCTCCTAGGAGCAAAGCAGGGCAATGTTGCTTCTATTTCAGCTGGCTTGCTTGATTTCCTTTTCATCCCCTTCCCACGTCCAGCCCTGCAAGCTGGGAAGTACTGATGATTAACCAGCCCCACCATCCATCAGCCGTTAATCAGAAATCCCCAGTTCCTGCAGGAATGGTTCCCAAAGCCTTTGCAAACCAGCTGGCTTGGCTTTGCAGAACCCTAAGGAGAGTAAGTGGTGAAAAGAGGTGGGAAGAGATGTGACTATGGCAAAACAGCTGAGCAAGGGTAGAGATACAGTCAGAATTTATGAGTCCCAGCTCTCAGCCTGTAATTTCAACCACTTTTGTCTGGGGTCATGACAAGGAGTATAGCACAGTGAGCTCACCACAGCCACACAAAGGTTAGGAGATCAAACACCAGTGTAATTCATTGCTCTGGAGGAGCTGGGGAGATGTTAACGTAGGAGGTGGTCTCTTTAACATCCTCTCCCACGCACAAATCACGCCCCATAAAGGCCCCACGCTCCAGGTGGGACCAGGCCCCACCGTTTGGGGTGCAGCCGGTGGGGATTTCCCCTTCAAATCACAAAACTCACATTAATGAAGGAGGCGTTGATGTAGTCAGAGTCAGGAACCCCCTCGACAGGGGTCAGGTGAACCCGGGAATGATCATCTGGAGGAAAATTAAGACTTTGCATTAAAAACAAACCCCTCCACGTAGCTGCTATCTGGCGTAGTGAGAAAGGCGGGTGTTGGAGTGGAGCCCAGGCTCGCTGCTCCCCCGCACACACAAACATCTTTATTCCCCCATACTCTTCTTGTTTAAGCCCTGAGAGGTGCTAGACTTTGCCCAAGGAAGTTTTTCTTCTGCAGAGCACACACATTTGAGCAAGCCCCACTTGCCACCTGGCAAGAGTTGGTCAATTTGGCATTTCCCACCCATTTTATCTTCCATGGCCTCCTGGCTGCTGACAGCTCCAGGGAGCTCCTCCTTGTAGTACTGAGAGCTAAAGCAGATGCAGTCACCCATCTGGGGTGCAAAATGACCTCAACCATGTCCTCTCCCATCCCAAAACCAGGTATGGGGATCCCTGGCAGCAGCACTCCACCCAACCAGCTCCGATACCTACAGGGCAAAATGTTCACGTATCTGTTCTTCTCCTTGTTCTCCTCCTTGGAAGCAGCTTCACACGTGGCCTGTATGGGACACGCTGGGAGAGCCTGAAATGGCAGAAAAGGGGGTTTTCCATGATGTTTCTTACAGCACAGCAGTAACCACAATACAATGGGTGTGTCAGCACAGGCCCCATCTGAGCATCCTGCCCCTCCGGACATGGCCCACACCACTCACACCCCTCACCCCCAGCCCACCGAGCTCAAGGTGATCATTTAAATGGCCTGAGCTTGACTAGAGAGAGTAAATCCCTTCCAAAAAGTGCTATTGGGAATCTCAGGACCCCTGAACACGAGGTGGCAGCAAAGCCTCCGATACCAAGCCCACCAGCCCAGTGATCCAGGAGCTCATTTCTGCTCCCCCAGGCTGCTGCTGAGATTTCCTCCGTTAAGGATGACCCGGTTAAAGCCTCCATCACTCAAGCACACCCAGCGATGGGAAGGAGCACCCATGCAGGGGGTTATTCTCCATCCAGCAGCACGGGGAACCTTTGGGTTGGGGGGTGCTAGGGTGCCAGGAGATGCTGTCCTGGTTCACAAGGGCCAGGTTTCACGTTCGAGCAGAGGAGGTGCTTCCCCAGCACCGTTATTCTACATCCTCTGAGTAGTGAAGAGGATGAAAACGTACTGGAGGGATTCACCATCCCTCCCTCCAGCTGACAGGCCAGACGTGCTTCACAACGGAAGTCTTCAAGGCAGTTGAGTATTTATAACCTGAAAAATCCCCCTCTCCGGGCATTCATTGCACCTATTTAGTTACATCGAAGCGTGGTCAGGAAGGGTATCAAGTTGTGCAACAGCTGGAGAAAGCTGAGTGGCTTTTTTTTTTTTTTAATCTCATCGTCCTCATATTGCCCTGTCGTGCCTTGGACCTAAGGCTTTATGTATTTGCAGATGACACCTTTGCAGTGAAGACAACCAGATCAACAGTGGATTTTCTTTCATTAATTAGGCTGATGGAGAATCCAGTTAGTTCAGCAGTTCCTATATTACATGCTGCGATACTCCAGCTTGTTATTTAACTTTGTCCCCTACCTCAGGATCGCTCTGCCCATTTTTATATCATCAAGGTGAAACAGGTTTATTACCACAAGAAGTTGCAGAGCTCAGCAACACCAAGGAGAGGTTGTAGCCATCTCAGAAGAGATGCTCTAGCATTGTGAGATAAGCACAATACCTGAATTATTACTCACTGCTGAAGGCCAACTGTTGTCCTATAAACTGTGATCATTCTGTTTCAGGGTTAACAGCTTATTGAAATAGACGGGGTCATTTCTGTTTCTCTGTCAGAGCTTTTATTTTGGCTGTTTGTGGATTTAAGCCATGAGGACTGGGAGGAGGGAGGCAGAGCTTGGGAGGAAACCAGCAGGCAGGGAAGTTCTGCAAAACCCCAAGACATCGAGGACACCTCCCGAACCCAGCAAAATGTATCCCTGTAGTGTTACTTGCTAGAAAATCTCTGCTCCCTGCAGTGATTGTGATGGGTAGAGGCTTGCCCACCCTCACAGCAGATTCAGGGACAGAATGGGTCCTCACACCTCGCAGCCCTTTGAGAAACCGCTGAGGACCAGGCAGACCATCACTCCCTCCATGAAGCTCCCTGAGAAGCTCTTCTAAAGCCCAGCATCCAGCACCGTTATGTTATTGACTCAGTTACCCCTGGGTTGATGTGCTGTCCCGAGCTAGGTACCACCGCACGCTAAAGCCCCTCTCTGCTGTACCAGCCATTTTGTCCCTGCTCTATGAAGTGAGAACACATTTTTCCCCACCGTGAGTTGTAAGCTCGACACCAAGAGCAGCCTGCAGGATTTAAGGGCAAGAAGCAAAGGCACTCACGTTGAACTCTTCCCGAAAGAGCTTGTTGTCATCTGCCATCCGGCGGTTGATCTCCTCTTCCAGCTTGTCAACGGGCAGAGGCGGGTATTTACGGTTGGTGCTGGGGGAGCGGGCAAGCAGCGGCATGCTCTGAGGCTCTGCAACGACACCCGGGCATCAGAGGTGCCCACCCAGCTGCTCCCCGTGCCCAGCACTCGTCCATGCCCAGGTGGGCACAGGGACCCCAGGCTTGCTGCTTTTAGGGCTCTCCTCACTATCCCTGTATTTTCATAGAATCACCATTTTCATAGAAAGGACCTTAAAGATAATTTAGTCCAACCCCCCGCCACAGGCAGGGACACCTTCCACTAGCCCAGGATGCCCAAAGCCCCGTCCAACCTGGCCTTGAACCCTTCCAGGCCTTTTGCTTTTCCTATGGACAATGCACAAAAATTTGGGGATGTTGTGATAACATGGAACTCTTTCAGCACCCTGTTGTTGAGTGTTATGTTGTCATAGAGGCAGGATAGGACAATGAGGACCAAGACTAAAAACCCCCTGCAATGCTCTAGATTTGGGCAGGAGTGGCTGGAGAGCTGCCAGTCAGAGAGGGACCTGGGGGAGTGACTGACAGGCAGCTGAATATGAGCCAGCAGTGTGCCCAGTGGCCAAGAAGGCCAATGGCATCCTGGCTTGTGTCAGCACTGGCGTGGCCAGCAGGGACAGGGAAGGGATCTGAGCCCTGGGCTCGGCACTGGTGAGGCCGCCCCTCGGGGAGTGGGTTCAGTTTTGGGCCCCTCACCCCAAAAAGGCCATTGAATGACTCGAGCGTGGCCAGAGAAGGGCAACGGAGCTGGGGCAGGGTCTGGAGCACAGGTCTGCTGGGGAGCGGCTGGGGGAACTGGGGGGGTTCAGTCTGGAGAAGAGGAGGCTGAGGGGAGACCTCCTGGCCCTCTGCAACTCCCTGCCAGGAGGGGGTAGAGAGCGGGGGGTTAGTCTCTTCTCATGAGTAATAAGCAATTGGACAAGAGGAAATGTCCTCAAGCTGCACCAGGGGAAGTTTAGATTGGATGTTAGGAAAAAATTTCTTCACCGAAAGGTTTGTCAAGCACTGGACCAGGCTGCCCAGGGAAGCGGTGGAGTCACCAACCCTGGGGGTATTTAAAAGACGTGTAGATGTGGCACTGAGGGAAATGGTTTAGTGGTGGCCTGGGCAGCACTGGGTTAACGGTTGGGCTTGATGATCTTAAAGGTCCTTTCTAACCTAAATGATTCTGTGACAATGTGAAACTCTTTCAACACCCTGGGATCGAGCATCACACTATTGTAGAGGCAGGATAGGGCAATGAGGACCAAGTCATCAATACTGGGGGATGAAGACCACCTTTCTATGAATTCAGACTTCACCCTTGCTCATATGGGAAGTCTGGCACCATCACCATGACGTAACTCCCAGGTGGACACAGCAAAGGTAGCTGTTGCTTGTGGTTCTTTAGTGAAGCCAAGAAAGGCCACACGAGGGTTATACCAACACAACTGACTGTTCATGAAGTTCACACCTTCATTTATAGCAATGTAAAACCGGTAGGGAAGGTTTTAGCTGCCAACGTAAAAAAAAAAAAAGGTGCTGATTTTCAGTTTGCACTTGCTCTGAAGGTGTTTGGTTTATGTGGAGGGAGCTCAGAAAAAAGGATCTGGACTGAGTTAAAGAGGTGATGGTTCCTCTTCCACTCTTACTTTGGTGCCTCCATATGGATGGAGATGCCCAACTTCAGATCCTCAATGGGCAGCTCTGGCTCAAAGCCAGCGAACGAGACAAGCTCAGGGAGAAAAGAGTTCAGACATTACAGCAGGCTTGCACTGCATAAGACTTTACAATAGCATTTATGCATTTTTAAGAGGTCCAAAAATGTTTTTATAAAGAAAAACCACTGTACGCCCTGCTTTCTCTAAGAAATGTTAGTTTGGTGTCTACAGTTAGTGTGAAGACCTGAGTTTTAATCAGCTGTCATCCTAATTTAAAAGGGTAGAAGGATATTTAATTATTTCCCAAAGATGTGTTTCTTCAAAAAAGGTTGTTATTTGAGTCGAGGAGATATTGTGAAAACTCAAGAGGAACTGTGAGTAGTTTGGTGTTGGAAGGGATTGTCCATTTTAATATTAACCACTTGAGGGCAAACATTTTGTCACTGGAGAGAAAGTTGGGAAATAAATTTGCATCCTGTAAGAGTTCACCAAAATCATGGAAAACAGAGAAAGTTCATAAAAAGAAACAAATAAAAATGTAAATGAAAAAATACTTCCCTACAAAAATATGAAGTGGCAGAACAATGACTGCTGAGTCCCCAAGCACTGTCATTGCACCGGGCTCAGGCTGCAACAGTGCTGCATCCACGGGCTTTCCTGGATTTTCCTGGACTACGGAGGTCTGCGTTCTGATGTATGTATTTATATTATTTTAGTGTATTTATATTTATTCTGCTGTATATTATTTATATTATTCCCATCAGCAATAATATAAAAACATACTCAGGGCCATCTTCATATGCCCTTCCTAGACCACACTCAAGTGGAACATAATCTTCATCTTCCTTTCTACATATTTCCAGCAAATCATGTCCCCAAAACAGCATTTGTTGAACGTTTTCCCACAGCTATTAGAGCTGGCCAGTAAAAGATGCCCCCAGCTATTACGTTGGCTACATGTCCATCAAGCTGCACGTGTCTTATTGCTGTGTTGGAAGGGGAAAGGCACTGTATGGTCAGCAGACCAACCCAGGTAGCTCTGCACTGCCCAGAGAGCTGCCCTGGAGGGTGTAAACCAACTCTACTTTGGCCACTTCAAGGGGTTTATGACATTTTTTGTAATTTTTACAATTTTTTTGAGAATTGATATTTATTTCACTAGTTAACTTTGGCCGATTCCAAGTTGGGGAAAGAGAAAAACCTAAAATATTCTGAAGAATGTCTGCATTGACCTGTTCTGATCTGAACAAAGCTCATTCCTTCTGCAAGATGCACTTTTGCTCCCTGTATCACACGGATGCGGGTCTCACCTGTATCATCCGTCCGGCCGTTGGACAATCGAAAGGAGTTGGAGTGACTCCCTGCTTGCTTGTATTTCTTGAACCTACCGAAGACAAGGGAGCGGAGAATGTCAGTAGATACCCACCCAGAAGGCCAGGTTACCTTCTGGGGGAGCAGTGCAGCCATGAAGGCTGTTCCACACTTTCTCACGGCTTGATGAACCAGTTGGTGGGTCCAAGAGGCTACGGGACCTCTAAAATCCTGCCTACGGATGTAACTTTTAACTGACCACATCTGGAAAGGCTGCAGGAGACAGAGCGAGGTGAAAGCCAGGAGGAGAAGTTTTAAGGCTGCTTTTTATGGAGGACACCCCAAGGAGTTCCTGCTCTACGGGCTGATTCAGCAAAGCACATAAGCCCCAGGTTGATCCGTCCTTCTGCTGCAAAGCCCTTCTCCATGTGCTTTTAACTTGAAGCAGATGATTATGCTCCATTTGCCTGAAGTTAAGGGTTTTGCTGAATCACTGGGCAGGCGGCGGTGAACAGAAACCCTTTTTTTAAGGGCTGGAAGCCAGGTGGGGAGGACTCAAAACTCTGCTGCTGCTGAACTCCCAAGGCAAAACTCTCATCAGGTTCACTGCCTCAAGGGCAGGCACAGAGCCAGGAGATGAAGAGAATTTTTCCACTGCTGAGGAAAATATTTATTTTTTTTTTTTTAAAAAAAAACTTATTTAATCACCAAAATGGTGAGTAAATGAAAAAGTTTACTGCAGGTGAATAAAACCCCTCTTCTAGATGAGCAGATATGCACTCAGGAGCTGGGAATGCTACATTTGAGCAGCCCAGATGTTTGGATTTGTTAAAAATGGACCTAAAAAAGGGCTTTGTCATGTTATAGCCCAGCTACAGCATCACCTAATGCTCCTAACAAGACCTGGCCATATGCCACCTTGGAGCAGAAGATGCACGATGTTAAGGTTTGGTACCAAGGCTGAGCTTGGCTCTGCGTCACGTTCAGTATCAAGATGGGAATCCAGGAATAACACCCCCAGTTATACATACAAAAGACCTTCCAGCTCGAGCGCTGTGTTCAGCTTCCCTGGATTACTCAAGCCAACACTCTTTGCCTCTCAAAGAAATCTTCCCTCAATTTTTAACTACACTGGCAGGAATTTAATTTAATCTGTCCTACTAAATATGACATTTTCAGTAGCAGAACAGGCATTACCCCACACAAGGACCAGCTTTATAGAGAAAGGAATAAGCATAATTTTCTACATAACCCCAAACATAATTTTCATTATCCCTACAGATTTCTTTTTAAAACACCAGCTGTGTCAGCCTTTATCTTAGCAAACAGCACAAAAGGCTTATTCCTGTTCATTTAGTAATTAATTTTTTGTAAAGTAAGGGAAGTTAGCATTAAAGCATTTCTTACCTTAGCATGTACAGCACAATAATAATAAATACTATGACTAGAAGGGAAGACAGGGCCACCATCACAGCTATAATTGGAGTCTCATCTGCAATAGGGAAAGAAAGGTGACGATCAACACTGAAAAACATCCAGCACTATCATTTAACAGGGAAGAGCTCTACAATTTCTGCTTGTAAGATAATAAAAATAATAACAACACTAATAAAAGGTATTGAGTAAGGTTATGTTTCTCCAGTCTGACAGTGAAGACAGATACAGGACCTGAGCGAGGACCATGTATCTCAGATACTCCGAGGTTAGATTCAAACCCGTAACCACGATTCAGAGCAGCTCAGTCTCCTCTAAGTGTTGTACACAGTGAAAATGTGAGCTTGAAGATGAAAACTGTGACTGAGAAAGTTGTGAGTGGGCGATTTTAGGGGTTTCTTCTGCACAACTGAATGTGCCCATGGTGGCCCGACAGCCACCAGTAGAAGTTCCCGCTCTATCACCTGGGGACCTACCAAGTCTTCTGTCTGAGACATAAGGATCCATGCGAGAAGTTTCTGAAAGGTCCATCAGTTTGGTATAAGATGATAAGGAACCTTATATTAAAACAGGTGAAAACTGTGGCTTTTGCAAGATCCCAAAGATACTACGTTTGTAAAACCACCACGACTTTGCTTCCAGCTCCCTGTCAAATGGGACAAGAGGGCAACGCTTTGTGATGCACGTGGGCTCTGAACACCTTGAGGCTGAGGTTTGCTGGGGAGGTTCAGGGCTGCCGAGCTACTTATCATCTGTCCGGCTCATCACAAAGAGGCTGCTCCTGCTGGGACTTCTTTCCTCCCTGGAAAAACTGACTTTAAGGAGGAGGTGACATTAGACAACCCATTGTGCATGCTCTGCACTGCAAGG